TTGTAGCCAACATGAACGGTATTCATGGAGAACTCAATGGTGGGGGTGAAAATATGGCATTAAAGGATGAGGTATGTAACACAAAGAAATAAAAGTTGAAAAATGAGATGCAGTGAATCCCTGCGCTTCATAAACTGTTCCAGGAGATTTTGAGTAACCTCAGTTTTTCTTCATGTACTACTGTGCACAAGTTACCTTGGGTTTCATTTTTATCGATCTTTCCTTTTCATGTTTGTTATTTTTCTATGCCAGTTAATGATTTTGTGTAGCTTCCTGTGCTTGTAATGATCAAAACAAGGAGTACCTGTAATTGCTTAGACCTTGTTCAGTGCTCACCAAGAGTTTTTTGGATTTGGAATAGGCTGCTTCTTTCTTGTTTTTCTGTTCCTTTCAGGTTCCACCTGAGTTGTATTTTAAAATTTCAATAAAACCATTGGCACCAACTCAGATCAGGGTTTTCTTCCTTGTGCTGATTTTCTTCTTGTGCTATTACCCTTTGTTTGTTCCTTTTTATTCCTTTTAAGGATCAGGGTAGTTAATTTTTAATTCCAATACCTGGTTCTATGAATAGACCTAGTTGGATGCCGCTATGTATCTGAACAACAGATGTCTCATTGAACCTTACATCGGCTATGAGGTCTGGGACAGTTGGGCTTTCCATACCAAACAGTATGCGTCTTTTTCCTACTACCATTCTGGGACTATATTAGGGTTGGCTGATAGAATTTCTGCTGTTTCATCTACGTTCCTGGCAGCAAATTTGAACTGGCAGTTGGAACTAATTATATATACCCATCTCATTATTGTTTGTGGGAGTTTGCTGTATCAATTAACCTCCATATTTTCACACAATTTACAGTTCTGAAGTTGTGGAACACTTTGGGATGTCCTAAGGCCATTCAATGTGCTGTATGGAAACAAGTTAATTCATTCAATCCTTAATGCCTTTTTTTAATTTTGAAATTTGCACTCTCTAGTCTCCACAGGTAAGCAGCACCAGTAGTAGCTCTTCAGAGGTTGATGATGAAGATGGTGATGATGGAGAAAGCAGCAGTGAACCTCCTGCATCTCATCCAGAGGAGATGGCTGGGAAGAGAGTGGCTAGAAAGGAGGAAGTAAGGAGGGACAGTCCTCCTCCATCTTATCCAAGTCAGCAGGTACTCAATTCATTAACAACATATGTTGTGGGAGTGGGAGGAAACACGGGGGGAAGAAAGACCAGTGTTAGAAAAATGAAATAACTGAAAAAAAATTCTGGAAATAGAACAGGTGACAATCTCTGAATGATGTTAAAATGTTGACTCTTCTTTTGTCACTTCGAGTGAATGTGTAGACAGTTAAAGTTTAGATTTTGGAAATTGGTACCAGAGAGCTGTAGGTACAAACTTATTAACTGTACAGGTAGTTCTGCTATAACGTGCGTTTCATTAACGCGAGTTGGCTGTAACACAATTGATGAATAGTGGATGCTGTTTGGATTACGCAAACTTTCTGCTGTACAGGGATACTGATTTTCTATAGCGTGAGGTCACACAAGAAGACAACTGTTGCATTATAAAATATCTTGTACAGTAGCTTCCTTGGCCCATCAGCCAAGCCAACCTCTTTATTGTTTTTTTTTGTTCATTCAGTGGATGAGGGTGTCACTGGCTAGGCAGCACTTATTGCCCATCCCTAATTGCCCAGTGGGCAGTTCAGAGTCAACCACATTGTTGTGGGTCTGGAGTCATGTGTTAGCCAGACCAGGTAAGGACAGCAGTTTCCTTCCCTAAAGGACATTCGTGAACCAGATGGGTTTTTCTGACCATTGACAATGGATTCACAGTCATCGTTAGATTCTTAATTCCAGATGTTTATTGAATTCACATTCTACCATCTGCCGTGACGGGATTTGAACCTGGATCCCCAGAATATTATCTGGGTCTCTGGATGAACAGTCCAGCGATAATACCACTAGGCCATTGTCTCTCCCTCGTTTATGTAGAGTCTTTGGGTGTTAAAGCTGAACTTGCAATCAGGGCAGTTGTGACAAACATAAGAGGATGGGGGCAGTCATTGGGTACAGATATGTAAAGAATGTTTTGGGAGGGATGATAAGTTCACGAGGCTGTTTTTTAAAGAAAACATATGGAATCGTAGCCTTTAAAAACAAGACATTGAGTACTACTGAGTGATATGAAATATACATAAGTCATTGGTTAAGCTACTTTTAGAATTCTGGTTTTGAATTTGTGCAACACTAGATCATGGGAAAGTGTGCATAGAGGAGCCACTGTAGTGATAAAAGGTATGAAGATCTTTGTATTGGACAGTGCTTGAAAAATTAGTGTTGTTTGGCAGCTAATATTAAATGGCATAAAAGAGAGAGAGCATGCAGAAAAACTCAACATGTCTGACAACCTCTATGGAGAGCAACAGAGCTCATGTATTGTCAACCCCTCGGTAATGGGGTCATTTCGTACAAGATGCATATTTTTGAAAAAAGTAGTTAATGACAGATAAAGCTGCTTAAGCTGTTTTCTCTTCTTCCAAAGGCTGACCAGGTCCAAAATGTTTGTGAATGCCATGTCTGTAAGCAAGAAGGCTCAGGACTGAACACATCTGCACTTGCAGCTGGGCGTCTCCCTAGCAGTCACCAGTTTTTACCCACAGAGAAGCCTTCCCATCCTGCTCTTCATCTCTACCCTCATATCCATGGGCATTTACCACTCCACACCATTCCTCATCTGCCTCGGCCTCTCCTCCATCCTACACTCTACGCAACAACTCCACCGTTCACACACAACAAGGTAAGACGTTGCCCTGGTGTGGAAAGCAGAGGGCTTTCTTTGTGTTTATTTGACTTGTACACAAGCACTTTTCTGAATGATGTTATCTTGAAAGCATTTAATCTTTATGCACACCAGTGGTATAGATTTGACATTTATTGTATTTAGGATTCCTGTCTTGATTTTAGCTTCAAACCTAACAAACTCGGTTCCATGAAAGTGGAGTCGCAAGTAGACAGTAATGAAGAAGGCATTTGGCACGCTTGCCTTCATTGGTCAGGACATTGAGTATAGGAAATGGTACATGTTGTGGCTGTACAGGACGTTGGAGAGACCACTTTCAGAATACTGCGTACAATTCTGGTCACCCTTCTATAGAAAGAATATTGTTAAACTTGAGAGGGTGCAAGAAGATTTACAAGAATGTTACCAGGACTGGAGAGTTTGAGTTATAGGGAGAGGCTGAATAGACTGTGGCTATTGTCCCTGGAGTGTTGGAGGCTGTGGGGTGACGTTATAGAGGTTTATAAGATCATGAGGGGCATGGATAGGGTGAGTAGCCAATATCTTTTCTCGAGGGAGAGGGAGTCTAAAACTAGAGGGCATAGGTTTCAAGTGAGATGGGAAAGATTTAGAAAAAACCGGAGGGGTAGCTTTTTCAAGCAGAGGGTGGTGTGTGTATGGAATGAGATGCTAGAGGAAATGGTGGAGACAGGTATAATTACAACATTTAAAAGGCATCTGGATGGGTACAAGAATACAAAGCGTTTAGAGGGATATGGAGCAAATGCTGACAATTGGGTCTATGTCAAATTGGGATGTCTGGTTGGCACAGATGAGTTGGACCAAAAGGTCTGTTTCTGTGCTGTATGACTGATATTGTTCTTTGTTTTGGCAAACAGCTGAAAGTCCCCATCTACATTTTCTGTTCCTAGTTGTTCTTTATCATTCATTCTCTCACTTCAAGAAAAATCATCGAGACATAGTAATTTAGTAGGCTGAGAGGGCAGTTATCCAAGTGCTACGCATGTATCTGTATCACATGTCAGTTCCTATTGGAATCCGAATGGAGTCATGATGAGGATTAGGTTATGAGGAGTGATCATTTAAACCATGTTTGTACATCTAGAATTTAGGGGACTGAAGATCTGTTTGATGTTTTAGGATTCTGAAATGAATTCCAAGCAAGGATTAAACTTTTTCCCACTGATGGTGAAAGTCTAGATTAAGAGGGCATAACCTTAAAGCCATGTCTTTCAGGAGAAGTTAGGAAACACTTTTTGTTTTCTGCAAAGTTTAAGAGAAGTGTGGAATCCTCTCCCACAAAAACCGTAGGTGCAAGCTCAATTTATTTTAAATCTATTATCAATAGGTTTTTCGGAATCAAATTTAGAAAAGCATATAGAACTCTGGTGCATGGATAGAGTTAATATACAGATCAAGCATGATCTCACTGGCAAAATAAGC